AAGTCTCCCAACCAATCAGGATGAAGAAAAAACCATTCTAACACAGCAGTAGGCTAGCATCAAATTTAAAACAGAAATGGCTGTGAAAGCCTGACTCACAGACAAACACAATACAGAAGCCTGATGATGGCAGTTGAGATTCTGCCGAAACGTTCCTACAACTTTAAAAGCACAACTATAATGACGAGGGAAATACCCGAACAAAGCTGAATACCATACATGTAAGTACCCGCGAAAACTTAAGAAAACAAATATATATATATACACATATATACATATATATACACATACACACACATATATATACACATATACATATATATATATATATACACATGTATGTATGTATGTATGTATGTATGTATATAGGTCTAGGTGTGTTCTGGTCTTTTCCCGTGTAAGATTAAAAGTATCTTGGCAATGTTTCGGCGAGGTCCCACTCGCCATCCTCAGGCTGGTGCTTTCGGCTTCGTGCCAGTGCAAGCAGTGTTTGATCGGAGCTGCCGTCTCTCTAAGTACTGGTGGTGGGGGCTGGTGTGCTGGGCTGATTGGCTGCGCTGCTGCCTCTTGATTGGTTGATGGAGTTGATGTTGGTATAATGGGCTGTGTGATAGCCTTGTGAGTTTTGTTGTGGAGAAATACTGGATCTTGTGCTGTAATCTCCTGGGTTGTTTGTAGTGATCTTTTTTCCATTATCCTCTCGTGTTTTAATGGCTTGGGTAATGGGTTGTGTGATGGGCTTGCGAGTTCTTTTGTTCTGGTATCCTGGGTCCTGCGTTGTAATCTCCTGGGTCGTTTGTGTTTTGATCTCTTTTCCATTAGCCTCCTGTGTAGTAACGGCTTGGGTATGGGTTGTGTGACGACCTTGTGAGATTTATTGCTGTGGTATCCTTGGTTTTGTGCTGTGATATTCTGGGTCATTTGCTGTGTTGCAACTTCTTGAGTTCTTGTGTAATTTCCTGAGTTTTCTGATGTGATATCCTGAGCGGGTGGCTGTGATGTAGCATTCTGGGTTTTAGTCTGGCTTTGAGTTTGGGGTCTGGGTCTGTGTTCTTGGCGTGTGTCAGCTTGTTTGGTTTTGGGGTTGGGGGGTGCGACAGCTGGTGAAGCAGCCATGGTCTATTTTCTGGATGGTGGTTGTCCTTTGTTTATAGGATGGGCTTGGGCCTGGGTCTGGTGAGGGGCACCACGGGACACCACTGCCAATCCCCCTCACAGACCCAGAGGCATTAAAGCCGGAGGAAAAACGGGCTGAGCTAGCCCTATGCAGGGCCCATCAGTCTGATGCATGGGCCATCAGAGCAGCCACGGCCGCTTCCTTCTTTACCCGTTCTTCTCTCAGGTGGCTCCATCTCTTACGGGAGCATGTCTCTAATTCCAACATAAGAGCGCACCAAGATTTTGCAAAACTTATAGCAGCTGCTGAATTCTCAGCTGATGCAATTTATCATGCGGTCAAGTTTTCAGCCAGAGCCATTACTTCACATGTCACAGCGCGACGCTTACTATGTTTAAAACTTTGGCAAGCGGACATTAAGCACAAATGCAAGCTGGCTTCATCTCCTATTGCAGGAGACAGACTATTTGGACCTGCCCTCGACCTGCTGCTAATCGAAACCCAAAACAAAAAGAAATTTCTACCTTCCCTTTTTCGGAAGTCAGGTTCTAGAAACCCTCAATCCTTTCGGAGGGGATCCTTTCGGCCCTTTCTATTCACATTTTTTTGTTGTTTCCAAAAGTTCAGGGTGGGGTGGGATGGAGAGCAATATTAGATCTGAAGCATCTTAACCGTTTCTTAGTATATTGCAAGTTTAAAATGCGCACCCTGCAATCTATCTTACTCGGCATCAGAAAAGGTGACGTCCTTACATCTATAGATCTGACGGAGGCGTACCTACATATTTCTATTCGGCCTTCCCACTATAAATTTTTGAGATTCTGTTATAATAAACACCATTTCGAATATGTGGCCCTTCCTTTCAGACTAGCTTCTACCCCCAGGACCTTCACAAAGGTTCTCACAGCTCTCGCTGCTCATCTCCGAGGTATCCCTGTACGACTCCAGTGTAACCTTGATGACATATTAATTTTGTCATCTTCCCATCATCAAGCAGTCAGAATGGAGGCTTTTTGGCAAACAGGAGAAAAATGGGGAGGGGGAATTTTCCTGCCTGCCATCCTTCCCTCAATCTGTGCTGAGCTTGAGGAATAGATGACAGGCAGGAAAATCCCCCCTCCCCATTTTTCTCCTGTGAGCCAAAAAGCTTCTGTGAGCCTCCCAAAAAGAGGGGAAAAGCAAAGCAGCTGGCCGCAGAGCTGCCGGCTTCAGGGAAGTGGCCCAACAAGCAGAAGCGCTGTACCCAGAAAGGGAAGGGCAAAAGTGGTATTTGCACTTCCCCATGGGGCCAGTGGGTGCAACTGCAGCTGGACAGTTGCCCTGTGTCCGTGCCACCACTCGTGCTGACCGCACCCATCCCCTGGGCTTATTTTCAGGGTAGGGGTAATATTAGGCCCACCCTCAAAAAATTAGGGTTGGGCGTATTATTGGGATGGATCGTGTTTTCAGAGAAACACGGTAATATTTATGCAAAAATAAAAAATATATCACTTACTTATGTGTCATTAGTTTATTTATTTAATAAATTTGTTTGCCGCCCATCTTGTTGCAAGGCAACTCTGGCCAACTTATAACATAAAACTAAAACCATAAATATGTATACAAATCTGTAAAATCACAATATAGTCATAATGAAATGTACATTATAACTTAAACTAAAAGATAAGGAGGGAAGGAGCAGAATGTATGGGGGAGGTGGGAACTGCTTTTAGTTGATCAACCATCTCCAGTATAGTACTCCCTCATTGGAGCCCCAAGTCAACTAGCAGAGCCAGGTCTTCCGACTCTTTTGGAAGGTCAGGAGGGTGGGAGCCAATCTCACCTTAGAGGGGCAAGATGTTGTACAAAGACTTTCTTAGTCATAACTGTCACTTGCTCTTAGAGCAGGAGTTGTGAGCCCAGAAGAACCACCAAATTGTGGAACAGGTCTGTCTGGGGTATTGTCGCTATCCATAGCTAAAGTTGTTAGAGTCCCAGATGTTGAAGCTCCATTGGTCTTGTCAGGTTTCAGTTGAAGCTTATTGTCTCCATCCAGGTCCTCGCAGCTTTCAGCCAATGCTAGAGGAAAGCCACAGCATCACTTTATATCTCTAGGGCTAGAGATATAAAGTTGAATATCATCCACATACTGATGATATCTCAATCTATGGTGATGGATGATCTCACCCAATGGCTTCATGTAGATCTTAAAAAGGAATGGAGAGAGTATAGAATTCTGTGGCATGACACAGAAGAGCAGCCATGAGCTAGATCTCTCACTCCTATCAACATCATTTGGTTGTGGAGAAATGAGCTGACCCAGCACAAGACTTATGTTGCCCAGCCCCTGTAGCCAGCACAAAAGTATACCATGGTCAATGATATTAAGCAGTGGTGCATTTCAAACAAGTTTACCACCGGTTTGGTGGCTTGGTGGGCGGCTTTGCGCATGTGCACACACTTTGCATGTGCCAAATGCACACTGCGCAGGCGCAGAGGCTTTCTGACTCACCTGCACTCTTGCACTCTCCCTGTCGCTTCAGCAGCTGACGCACGGCAATCTGCTGTGCCGCGTAAAGCAGCTATACTTCAAAAGCAGGACAAAAAGGTCAGTATGGGAGCCCAGGCGGTTGGGCGGGCTCAACATCAGAGAGCCTTAGAGAACCGGTTCAATCTCCGCTGTTCTTCGGCACTACTGGTACGTGAGAACCAGGCTAAACCGGTAGAATACTACCACTGATATTAAGGGTTTTGAGTGGTCAAAAAGAGCAAGTAGCCACTACCATCATCCTGTTCTTTCTTGGAGATCATCCACAAGTGTGACTTAACAATATCAATAAAGTTTTAATTGTTTATAATTAGTTCTCTCTCCCCCCAGTTATGATACTACATTGTAAGTAAAAGAAACCTGATCATTTTGAAGTGATAGCAAGATATAATTTGTCCCTCAAATTTAGAAAAAAATTATGCTAACCTAATTATTATGTCATCGGAACATCCAACTATGAAATGCAAGCATATTACTGTACAAATATCAATATTTTGAATAGATTAAAACAGTAGTTGAACAGAGGTCAGCTAAAAACTATTATGTGACTAAGGTCATCTGTATAATGACAATAACAGTTTTATGGCATTGTATTCAAAGAGTGGATATTTGGCATTCTGATATCCATAGAAAAAGAAGTCATCATAATGGCTGCCATTGTTTTCTGTTTTTTTTTAAATGTCAAATAGAACTTGTCCTTTTCCATGACATCTTTTAAACATATAAACAAATTTTAAACAAATAAACTTTTGGGCCCATTGTTCAGAAATACCCTTTATTATGTCCAACATTAAAATATTTTCTGCTTTGTTCTGTAATTGTAAGTTAAGTTTGAGTGTTCTGCTTTAATTATGGTCTTTAGTTCTTTCTAATGTCCATTTTTTTTAAAGAAAATTCAAAGCAAAAGTATTTTCATATGGGAAAGTTTCTTTAAAATTAATTCAGAATTCTTATTTCAAATTTATTTGGATCCTCAGTCTCCTTGTCCAGAAAGAAATTAATGAAGAACTGGTCTACCCATCGGCTCTTTATTCCATTGTAGTCTTCAGCTCTGTTTTTCACAAAACCATCTTCAGTCCACAATCTGGAAGCCCAAAATCACATTTTAATTACTGACTTTCAAAATGAAATTACAAGTTGTTTTACTCTGAGTAGTTATTAATTTTGAGAATGTCCTTACATTGATTTAAGTTTCACATTCATAAGAAAACGGGAATGCCTATACTTCAAGCACTTTCTATTTTCAAAGGATTTTGGGGTAATATGTAAAAAATTGATACCTTTTAATTCATCTTATGTTTTGAGTATAATGCTTTATTATTCCAATCATTTAATATTTTCCTCCTTTTTCCATAGATGTAGAATATGATGGCAGATGTGGGATCCAAGAAGTGCTATTAAAACAAATATAAAAATAAGTATATATTAAAGTTAAAAGTGTCATGAGGAAATTTGCATATTGCAAGGTGGTCCTAGCCACATCATTGGTTTGGGTCCTTTTGGATATGTTTATGTTACTTTACTTCAGTGAATGCAATAAATGTGATGAAAAAAAAGAGCGGGGACTTCCACCAGGCAATGGTAAGTATTATTTTAGTTAGAGCTTTCAAGGTTCAAGTTGGAAAAAAAACTTGACAGTGATTCAGACTGAATTATAATGAAATATTACTATAAGATGATTGGACAAATAAAAGCATGTTTGCTGTCATTAAAAGTGTTCTAGACCAGAATAATTGTAAGGTAGATCACAAATTGAATTCCATTCTTTTTCAAATGTAATTCAGCATGCATGGCAGCAGTTTTGTTTTTTTGTTTGTATCATGCCTTTATTACTTTGAAAATAATGCAAGTTGGCAAACATATCTAAATAGTCCTATTTTCTCCATTGTGCTGAGCAGAGAATCCAAAGAATGGGTTAAATCCGCCTTTCTGTTCAGAGACTGAGCCCTTTTAACTTTTTAGTCATGCCTCTCTTGACTGTGTCCCGGTTTTTGACTCAGTCTTAGCTGTTCATCAGGCATGACAAGCTGAACACTTTGCTTCGGCTGAAGTGGCCTTTGGCAGACGCGTTCTCCAGAAGGTACATGCCTGGAGACTCAGGACCAGACCATGGCCCACCCTTAGGAATAGCCGGCTTTGGTATGCCCCATTCTTTTGATTCTCTGCTCAGCACACTGGAAAAGGGGCATTAGTCTTACCTGATACGCTTCTTCTTGGTGTGCTGAAAGAGAATCCAACCTCATCCTGGCGACCATCTCATCCAGAGTCCAGGAGTGGACAACGAGATCAGTAATGCATCAAGTTAACTATTACGCATTCATCAATACTGGGGCACAGTCAAGTGAGATGTGGCTAAAAAGTTAAAAGGATTCAGTCTCTGGGCAGAAAGGCGGAGTTAACCCATTCTTTAGATTCTCTCTTAGCACACCGAGAAGGAGCGTATCAGGTAAGACCAACGCCCCTTCTCCACAATAACAAACCTGTGAAGTGAATTGGACTGAGAAAGAGTGAGATATCCAAGGTAACACGGCTGATTTTCATGACTAAGACTGGACTACATCTCAGTCTCCTGCTTTTTTAGACTGATGCCTTAACTACTAGACCAAACTGACTTTTTGAAGAAATGAAATGAAAATGAAAGATAGTCTTGGATATATAATTGGTTGCAAAGCTGTGAAGAGACTGTGTTTTGTTGCAATGGATATGTACCGTCTTGTTGGTGCTTGAGGATGGGGAAGGGGAAGTGACAAAATAAGCTTTGCAGAGGCAAGTTGATTTTGAATTTGAGCTTTCAAATGAAGGAGAGATGTAAATTTAAACAGTGTTCACTGTGGGTGTTGTTTTTACTTGAGAATAGTGAAGTGGGAAGTCAAATGGAAATAAAATACTTTCTTTTTTCTCTCTTGATTTCTCAGTAATGGTGGATAATTACATGTTATCCTCAACTTATGACAACAATTAGGACTGAAATCATGGTAGTTGAATGAAGCAGTTGTGAGTGAACCACGTGACTGCTTTACCAAACAAGTGAACTCCTAGTTGTGGCTGTTAAGTGATTATGCAGGTTGTTAAGTGGACAGAGTCCCAGATAAGAGGGTAAGGTAGAGGAGACCCTGGAAGAAAAGCAGTTATGCAACTGTCTCCACATAAGAAATGCATACTTTTTCTGATATGCAGTGACACAAAAGTCTAATCAGGACATAAGGCACCCCATACTTCTAACTTTATCATGCAGATTCTCCACTCTGCTTGGATTTTGACTTCCTCTTGTCTATGGGTACTGGCTGAAAGAACTGCTTGCTGAAGGATTTCAGCTTCTCTCTGTGCATGGAAAATAATGCTTTCAGCAGGTTATAGAAGTCAAAGTCAAATTTTTTAGGGTTTGAAAACCTGAAAACTCTTCCCTCTTCAGGCAAGTAGTTTATCTAGCCGCCAGAAATGAGAGAGTCCTCTTGGCAGATAGTGCAATGTTTCGTGACAAAGACCAGAATTGCAGTATTTCCTAGTTCGTTATAATTCTGGATGGCTGTTGAATGGAAAGTCATAAGTTGTGGAGTACCTGTATAAGCATTGAGAAGCTGAAATATTTATTGGAGGCTATTGTGACTTTAATTTTAATTTAATTGTTATTGTCTGTCTGTTATGCTTAAAAAGATGCCTAACTGCTTGTCAAGACTTTTACTAAGCCTTGATGGAGAAATGGGTATCTGGGAAATTCTGTCACAATTTTTGATATAATGGAGAACAGCTTCAGTGCAAACATGAGATCTTTGAAGTAAATTGTCTTTTTACTGAGTAGCTTTTCTGCATTGCAACTGCTTTGGACTTTGAGGTTACCAGCCTCAGCCAGGTTTGAGTAATCTTGTATAAACCACTTCACTCTGTGGCACTAACTATAGCAAGTCATATCTTTTGGGCAAGTCTGAGCAGAATGTGAGTGATTAAAGTAAGAAATACAACCCTAGAGCATATTTTTCATCAAATATATTCGGCTTTAGAATGTTTTCAAATGACATTCTGGTCAGTTACATTATTTAGTCTAGTGTATATGTGCAATGAACAGATAACCTATGAGAGAATCACATTTATGTAGCAACTATGCATGACTGTTATGAAGAATTAATGTTTGCATTTTCCTCCAAAATATTTTTATCCAGTTTCAAGGGTTATTTTTCATAGTTTTCTCGGTGCTGCATATTTCTCCAATATTTATTAAGGTTATAGCATTGTAGTATGTTAAGTACAGATATTATGGTCCCTTTTAAATTGTTTAGTTATGATAATATTTTATTAGTTCCAGAATTGGTGCAAAAACCTCATGAAGGTCCAGGAGAAATGGGGAAGCCTGTTGCCATTGCTAAAGAAGACCAAGAGAAAATGAAGGAAATGTTTAAAATCAACCAGTTTAATTTAATGGCCAGTGAAATTATTGCACTCAACAGATCTTTACCTGATGTTCGGCTGGAAGGGTAAGTGCATTTATTGTACAAAAAGTCCCTTTATGAGGGAGATGGACTTTTTCAACATTTGATAAATAAAATAAAAAGATTGAATATGGGAATTGGATGGAATATTGGAGTATACTAAAGGGCACAATTTTCTTTTTTTCCCTGGGAAATGAAGCAGCCAAAATATACTCGTCTTATCCCTAGTTAGAATAAAAAATAAAAAAACGTTTCTATTTCCTTAACATGACTCAGTGTTCAGTTAAACCAACACCAGCATCCTAGAGACCATCATTTCTCCACCACAAGATAGAGGTCTCCCCAGGCACTAATAGCAAGCAGATTTTAGTAAAGTTCAAGTTTTGTCAAGTTGCCAAGTACTGCTCTCCATAACTGGTTCGTGTCTTGTCCCAAATCAGACCAGGAGAAATCATTGACATTTGATTGCCATTAGAGCCATATATTAAGAGAAGTTGGTAGAACTGACAGAAAAGTTATCTGAATGCAAGTATTTTCTTCATGATACCCCACATCATAGCTATCTATATGGTATAGTTCTTTGTAATCAAATTATTTCTTTATCTCTCTTACTAAATGGAATAATATCTTTATATGAAAATATATTGAATGAATAGACAATCCTAGGACTCTTTGGGAAGATTTAATTTTAATTTTAATTTTTTTAACATTAATTTTATAGCATTATTTGTAATGGATCTCTTGCCAAATATAAAAAATAGTTCAAAATGGACTGCATTTTTTCTATGACCAATGTACGGTCACTGCAATTAACATATGAAAAGCAAAGCTCTGGCAACTGCATCATTTTTAGATCCTTGACTTGATTGAGAAATGAAAATTGCTTTTTTTCATTCAACTTACCTTAGTTTTATTTGATTATTGTTTTGAAACCATTTGAAGATTTTATTTAAGCCTTTGAATAAGTTAATAAGTAGTGTTAGGTTAGAAAATTTAATACTAAATAGAGAACTGTTATGCAGAAGGAAAAAATCTTTAGATATGCACATATATTGTCAATGCATATATATTGTCAATTTATCGCTTCTTGGAATCATTTAATAATGGTAAATATTTTTAATATTACAAACTATGTTTAATTGAATTTACTTTGCATGTTTGAATTTTTGTTTTAAATGAAGCTTGAAGTTCATGAGGAATGTAGCATTCCACAATTTTGCTCTTTCATAAAAGTAGCAGGCAAAATGGTATTTTTGAAAGCATAAGAATACAGAATAACAGAGTTGGAAGACCTTCAATGTCTTCTAGTTTAACCCTCTGCTCAAGAGTACAGGGAGCCAAAAAGGCATATATGGGGGAGAGAGACAGGTGGAGAGTATCGAAACCTCATGCAGGCAGCTGGCCAAGTGCCTAATTTTTATCATATGACAACAGGGACACTTGAAAGCTGTAACTTTGGAAATCAGTCATAAGTACTATTTGTTAAGTACTGCCATAATTGAACAGTTGCTGAACAAATTGTCATAAGTTGAGGAGTTACTTGTATAGATTTTACCTTAAACATTTTCTATCTTAGCTCATTATTATTAATTCATTTTATCAGAAAGGCTTTAAATTAAAATTAAAGGGGGCGACCAATCCTCATGATCCTTGGGACCTAATTCCAAGCAAAAACTACTAGATAATCAATCAAATATGGAGGTAGAGAGTAAAGAGAAAGAAAAAAAAATACCCAGATGCAAAGTAGGAAAGTCTTTGAACGAAGTAAGAATTGCAACATATATCAAAAACAATTTAAAAGTTTCTTTCAACACATAACCACCACCTCCCAAAAATGTCAAACAATTGGTTCACTAATGGGAGAAAATAGCAAAGAATAATGGGCCATAGAGAGAAAACAGAACTACTTAATTGATACTTTGCATCTGTCTTCATGCAAAAAGAAAACACAACTCTACTTATCAAAAGCAGAACCATAAATGATAGGTTAGGAACGCAAATTAAAATATGCAAAAATAAGGTAAGAAAATACCTGTCAGCTCAACGTATTCAAATCAGTGTGTCCCCATGGACTACATCCTGAGTTCTGAAGGAACTAACAGAAGTGATTTCAGAACTATTGAAACATATCTCAAAGTTCTTGGAGCACCTGAGGATGGAAAAGAGCTGTTGTGGTTCCCATCTTCAAAAAAATCAAAGCAACAAATCTGTGAAAACCTAGACGCAAACAAAGTTAAACCTACCGTATATGCCGGCGTATAAGACGACCCGGCGTATAAGACGACCCCCCAACATTTCCACTCAAAATATAGTTTGTTATATACTCGCCCCCTCTTCCGCACGCCTTCCACTTTTGCACTTTTTTTTTTTGAGGCACTTTTGTGCACCGTGGAAACGAATCCCGTGAAGCCGAAAGGAGCAGCCAGCCTTCTCCCAGCTCCCAAGGAAACGAGGCTCGCACCGCCCGGGCTCCTCTGAGGTATCCGGCTGGGGCTGTCAGGAGTTGTTACCGCTGGCGCGGCTCCGCGCGGCTCCAGTCCCGCGTTGCCTCGGGAAGGGAAAGGCAAAAAGGAAGAGCCGCGGCGGCGCTTTGCAATGGCAGCAGCGGCTCCTGGTTTTGCCTTTCCCTTCCCGAGGCAACGCGGGACTGGAGCCGCGCGGAGCCGCGCCAGCGGTAACAACTCCTGACAGCCCCAGCCGGATACCTCAGCGAAGCTCGGGCGGTGCGAGCCTCGTTTCCTTGGGAGCTGGGAGAAGGCTGGCTGCTCCTTTCGGCTTCACGGGATTCGTTTCCACGGTGCGCAAAAGTGCCTCAGCCGCGAGCAGCCGCAGTGCTTCCCAATTACTATTTGCTGGCGTATAAGACGACCCGGCATATAAGACGACCCCCCCAATTGGAGGCATGTTTTTCAGGGCAAAAAAGTCGTCTTATACGCCGGCAAATACGGTACTTCCTGGCAAGCCGGAAAAATGTGGTAGAAAACAGCACTACCACCAGATGGCTGACAAATCGTAGTCTGCAATGGAACTACATTTACAAGGAGGGAAGTAAGCATTGGGGTGCCCCAAGATTCCCATTTTGGGTCCAATATTCTTCAATATTTTCATAAAAGATGTAGATGAGGGAATAGAAGGGGAACTCATGATTTGCAGATAACACTAAGCTGGCAGGAATAGTCAGCACCCCAGAAGACAAGCTCAAGATCCAAAAGGACTTTGACAGACTTGAGCACTGGGCCCTATCTAACAAAATAAAATAAAATGTTGATAAAAATAAGATTTTACACTTAAGCAAGAAAAAATAACTGCATAGGTATAGTCTAGGCAAAACTTAGCTTAATGCCAATAACTGTGAGAGGGATCTTGGAGTCCTAGTGGACAGTCACTAAAATAATGGGATTTAAGTGATTGCCCATTAGAGCCAATAGTGTGTGGCAGCAGCCAAAAAAGCTAATATAATCCTGGAATGCATTAGTAGAGGGATAAATCAAGATTGCATGACTCCCATGCGCCATCCATCTGCACATGTGTGTGTGATCCCTCCATGCGCTGCGCATCTCCTGTGTGCACCCCTGTGCGCGCATGCGCACCAGAAACCCGACAATCATCTGCCAGGTGGTGACATGCTCGCATGTACAGTGGGGCTCTTGCATTCCGGGGGAAATGGCTCTGCATGCCACTTCCGGCACGCGTGGCATAGGTTCGCCATCACAGGTATAAGATCTCCTGCTTGAGCAGGTATTGGACTAGAAAACTTCCAAGGTCCTTTCCAACTCTTTTACTCTGTGCTCTTATGTTCTATTTCAGGAGTGTCAGACTTATAGGTTGGATCTGGCTATGGGGTATTTAATTCTGGCCCACAGGGCAGCCGTGGAAATGGCGAAGGACTGGCCTGCAGTGCCTCTGCCAGCAAAAATTGAGCTAGAGATGGTTGCATGCAGCCCTCCCAGGCCCCGTTTTCAGCCTGGAAAGCCTCCTGAAGCCCTCTGTGAAAATGGAGCCTGGAGGGGCTGTGCATGAATGCCCAGGTTCTGTTTTCACTGGCAGAGGGCTTCAGGAGGCCAGTGATGTGGCTGTTTGAGTGCAGCCATGTTACTTCATTGCCAATCAGTTGTGTTCACATGTTGATAATTTCCAGTGCTTCCTAGCAGTTTCTTATAAGAAAGTCAATGGGGAAGCCAACAGGAAGTGGGAAATTGCTCCTGCTTCCAGTGCTTTTCTGCTACCTGTGGTCATTCAGTTTTTCTATTAAGATGAGAAAATATTTCTGAAACAATGACCCAATAGGTCATGAGTTGTCTAGCACAGCAGCGGTGGGGAGGAGAGGGGATAGTCCCACTTACATGTCCCAGGTCCCAATAGACCATAGTCCAGTACTTGGCCACTAATTGGGGTTCAGGATCCCTGATCTAACATATTAGTAAAACTCTTGTCTTTGATTGTTTGTACCCCTCATTTGAGTGAAATGTACTACACGGCAATAATTTTTTTTTAAATAAACCTGCAATACCTGCAAGGAGCAGCTGTCCTGATTAAATGTGGACAATCTCATGATCTCTTCTTTCTCTGGATAGATTTCACTGGCTAGGCTTCACCTTTTGTCCACCAGTCTCTGTGTAAAGTGTGTCCCAGCTCTTTCTGGAATATCTAGCTTGCCATGTACACACATATCTACATATATATGAATCTAAGATATTCTTGTATTCACATCTTCAAGAAAGAAGTATACCTGCTAAAAACATTTGACATATCCTATCTAAACAATTTAATTATAAAGGTGATAAACAGCATACTTATAGCCAGATTTTCCAGTTCATTTATTAGAAGCATGTGCTTTAAAGTATATATGCTTAAAGTCCCAATGTTTATATGTACCTACCTGAACAGCTCTAGAAAGTAGTCTAGCTATCTTGACTGATGACGTTTAGCAAGTAGTTATAGGGAATGAAATATCTTCGGAAGCTGCATCTGAAATGTGAAATGTTCTACCATTTTGGTATCAGATAGAATTTTTTTTAAATTTTTTCAGATGTGATGCTTTATTAAATATTAGGACTTTGTATGGTTTATTGGTTAATTTATCTGTTTTAAATCTTTTAATTATTACTATAATTTGCCCTTGCAGCATGATTGTAAATAGATGAATGAGATCAAGAAACAGTTTTTCTAGCTGCCTCAAAATTATTATTCCAGTGTGTATCTACCAAGATTGATTAATATTGTATAGAACACATGTTTTATATTCTATACTAAATTGCAGTACAACCACATTTATTTAATTATTGTAATTATTTTTATATTTTTAGCTGTAAGACAAAAATGTATCCTGATAATCTTCCTACAACAAGTGTTGTAATTGTTTTTCATAATGAAGCTTGGAGTACTCTCTTGAGAACTGTTCATAGTGTAATGAACAGATCACCAAGACATATGCTGGAAGAAATTATCCTGGTAGATGATGCTAGTGAAAGAGGTAAGAATTTATCATTGATTGCATTAATTGCCATTTGGACATACTTTTTAGATTCAGACTTCTCTTTCAGAATACATTTGTATCTGGAGAGTGTTTGAAATCTCCTTTGATTTTGGTGGTTATGAAGGAAGGTTGCAGATCTGCCATTGGTTTGTGTTACGTTTGTATCAGGGCAGATTGAAAACCAAAGTTATTTTATTTCCAGAATCGATCATAGTGCAATACATTATCCATGCTTGCCTGCACTAAGAAAAAAACCCAGTCATGCTATTTCTCTTCTTTTAATTACATTTTATTATAAGATTTCCCCCCTAAATTGTTAAAATCTTGTGAAATTGTCAGTTTTCGTAAGATTCTGATTTTTTTCATCTAGACTCTAGAGTTCAGGCAGAGCTATAGTACTGAAACATACTTGATTGCACTTGTCAGTTACCTTTGGAAGAAACTGACAAGTGCAATCAAGTATGTTTCAGTACTATAGTTCTGCCTGAACTCTAGAGTCTGGATGAAAAAAATCAGAATCTTATGAAAACTGACAATCTCACAAGATTCAGGATGGGAATAGTGCATCCATCCTGACCCTACTGGATCTCTCAGTGGTTTTTGAAGCCATTGACTACAGTATTTTGCTGGATCAGCTCTGGGGACTGGGAACAGGAGTTCTGTTTTGAAATGATTTTCCTTTCTTTGTGGCTGGTACCAATAAGTATTGGTGGAAGAAGAGTGGTCCAGTCCTGGGCACCTATTATGTGTTAGGGCTAAAGTTACTGTCCTACTTACAGTAACATCAGTATAAAGCTGCTGGAGAGATCATCAGCCAGCATGGAGTTCAATGTCATCAGCATAATGGAGTGCTTGTGATTCCTTCCCCCTTCCTCCACAGGATCAGGATTATTGACATCTGTGACTCAGGATGAGGTAACATTCCATAGACGTTCCAAAGGTGCTTTTTTCAAGAGGTAACTGGATTTTTTGGTTTTTTATTTGAAGACATTTCGCTTCTCATTCAAGAAGCTTCTTCATTCTAAAGCAGGGGTCCCCAACCACCGGGCCGCAGACCAGTACCGGTCCGTGGATCACTTTGCACCGGGCCGCAAAGAAAATAAAAATAAAATAAAAATGGCGGCTATCTTCGCCTTCGGTGAATGCTGCTGGGATCAGGGATCAAGGACACAAATGAAAGAAGGGGAGGGAGGAAGCAACCAAAGCCTGTCCTGCTCTCTGGCTCAGCGGCTTCGGTTTCCTCCCGCCTCGTTTCTCTCTCAGTCGCTCTCTCGCTCCTCCACCAGCCCAGGAAGAAATTGCTTCAAAGGAGCCGGCAGGGTGGCTTTTCCTGTCGGCGCAGCTCCCCCGAAGTGCCCGTTCACCCCCACCCCGCCACCAATCAATCCAGGTTCAATCCAGTGCTCTGTTCTGCCTGCCTGCCTGCCTTCGTTTCTGGTTGTTTCGGAGCAGCTTCGGCTGAGAATAATAACTATTCGCCTCTTTTACTCAGCCGAAGCTGCTCCGAAACAAACGAAGGCAGGCAGGCAGGCAGAACGGAGCACTAGATTGAACCGCGGGCGGCGGGGCGGGGGTGAACGGGCGCTTTGGATGAGCTGTGCTCCGAAACCACCAGAAATGAAGGCAGGCAGGCAGAATGGAGCACTGGATTGAACCGTGGGCGGCGGGGTGGGGGTGAACGGGCGCTTCGGGGGAGCTGCGCCGACAGGAAAAGCCACCCTGCAGGCTTCTTTGAAGCAGTTTCTTCCTGGGCTGGTGGAGGAGCGAGAGAGTGACTGAGAGAGGAACGAGGCAGACACCTGAGGGATGAGGCTGAGGGAGGGAGGGAGACACCTGAGGGATGGGGCTGATGAAGGCAGGGCCGAGAGGGGCTTCTCAGCCGTCCTGCAGGGACTATCTGTCACTCAGGGTTGCAATGAGGAGGCATTGGCGCTCCCTGAACTTGGTGATTTGCTGGCAGATGTTTTATTACCCGATTAGGTAACAACATCAGATATTACCTAGTCAGATAATGAAACGTCTGCAAGCAAACCACCAAACTCGGACCCCCCCCCCGTCCTTGAAAAAGTGTTTCTGCGTGAAACTGGTCCCTGGCACAAAAAAGGTTGGGGACCACTGTTCTAAAGAATGAAAGGATGAAAGCGAAACATCTTCAGAGAAAAACCAGGAATTCCAGTTGCCTCTTGAAAAAAGCACCTTTGGGATAACCATGATCTGGATGACTGAGAATCTTCATAGACATAAAAGATAAATATTTTGTACCAGGAAGTTAGTTCTCAGTCAATGAAATCTCATAGTTAATTGTTTTTATTCAACAATGAAGATTGCAATTCAGGCTATTGGTTATCAACTTTTAAGTTGTATATGGCAGAGGGCTATATTATTTGCAGATCCATCTCTCCCTGTGAGTATCTGTCCATCCTACTAGGTTAGATAGGTTGGGTATATTCCACGTACCTTTCCTTAAATGTTGCCATCGGATAGAAATTGGGAGGTGTGTCTTGGATGACTTTCTCAGTCCTTTGGAACAAAATCAAAGAGATTCCTATCTTTTTAGTTTTCCGGAGGCCTATGAAAACTTGACTATTTTCATTGTCTAAGATAGGGGTTGAGCTGTGTTAGTTTAATCTGGAACCTGGGGGGAAGAATACCTTTGTTTTTAATTACATTTTATAGATAATTGCGAACCACCTATAGTCATTGTATGAAATAGGCCACCATCTAAGTCCTGTAAGTAAATAAATGAATGTGGGTAGATGATCTACTTGCAGTAACATTGCATTCTGGGACTGATGAAATATCTATGGACAGGAGCAGCCTAAAATGTTGTGGAATGTTGTAGCAGTCTGTTGAGTGTATCGTAGTATATTACTGTAGTTGGATGGAGGTAGATGAAGTTAGGTTGTATTGGAATGAAGGATGAATATGTTTGGAAGCTGAGGGTGGGTCACACTTGGGGATGGTGGAGCTATTGGTTTGGGTGCAACCTTGCCTTCTGTATTGATTGCTGATGCCAGGTGACCAAATCTTCAATGCATCTGTATCCAGTTGTTTTTATTAAATTCCAGATCAGATTATATAATAATTTTATTACATTTATCAAAGTATGAAATACAAATAAAAATTAAAATAGTATGAAAATGGGAAAGAAGAAATATAAGTAAAAGGGGAAAAAGAAAAGCATTGATATCCAATTCCTTTTTGTCCAGTAGAATAAAATAATAACAAATCGCCTCAAGTTTTTTACTTTTACATACTTAATATGTACTATCCATTTCTATAACAACACATATCTAAACAGCAAAACCCAAAGTCAAAGCTTCATTTTTTTCCTGCCTCAAGCACAAAATCTAGAAATAGTTTTCAAGTGGAAAAAAACTTGGATGTACCGTATTTGCCGGCGTATAAGACGACTGGGCGTATAAGACGACCCCCCAACATTTCCACTCAAAATATAGAGTTTGTTATATACTCGCCGTATAAGACTACCCCCTCTTCCACACACCTTCCACTTTTGCACTTTTTTTTTTTTGACGCACTTTTCTGCTTTGGACAATTTTGAAATGAGCTAATCCAATTTTGAACCAAGAATAAGCAAATAGCTATGGAGTTTAGAAATGAGTTTTAAAAATATTTTTCATTGCTTACCATTAAGCGTAAAATATGTTGTAAATAAAATGAGAACACAGGAAACGTTCTCTTTTCAATACAGCTGATCTCTCTCTCTCTCTCTCTCTCACACACACGCACACCAAAAACCCGGACACTGAAAAGGCTGCCAAGGAACAGTATATTCAATGCCTTCTCTTTAATCAAGAAACAAGGAATTCCTTAGAATCTTTTTTTTTCCCCAAGTGGCCCTCTTTTAAAAAAAAAATGGAGGTAACACTTTCATTCAAAAAGTCTTCCAGTATCTGGAGTCGCTCAGACATATTGAAGTAAGGCAGGAGAGTAAGTGAAATTTGAAATGATCCAGCTACCGTTTTCTTCCCCTCCCGCCCGAAGGCCATATCTCCACGTCAAAACGAACGAGGGGAGGCAAAGAAGCCAAACACGCTAAAAAGGATCTCTTTATTTTCCTACACAAGGTCACACCTACTTTTCCGCATTCAAAGGACAACCTCTCCTCACCACCACCACACACACACACACACCCCAATACCCGCAAACAATGTTCTGGGCATTAATCACCATTGCTACATTAACCTGGTAAATTTATACCCTGCCTCCCCCAGTGTTGCTTTTGACGGCAGGATTTCACACAGCGGGGCGCTCGCTCGCTCTCTTCTCTGCTCTCCCACCGTTCGCACATGTTGGAAGCACCGTAAAACCTGATAACCCACCCGGGGGCTCCCCCATCCTTAACCTACAGCCGCCCGCATGCAAAACCTGCGTGCAAAAAGAAAAAAAGAAAAAGAAAAGTACGCCGCACGTGAGGATCTTCGAATCCTCTCCTCCCCACACCGCTAAGGAAGGAAGAGGGGGAAAGGTTGCGCAGCGCGTGGCGAGTGACACCCGCCACACACACACACACACACACACACACCGCTCCCCCCCCAGCCTCCCTCCTGGCTGCAACTCAAGCTCGAAGTGGGAGTCGGAGTCCTCCCGGCGTATAAGACGACCCTCCCACTTGGAGGCATGTTTTTCAGGGCAAAAAAGTCGTCTTATACGCCGGCAAATACGGTATTCTTTTCTTTGATTAGCGCAGTTAATTTACCCATTTCTGTTTTTTTATCATTTTTATCAGCTATTCACTCATTGTGGAAATTAGACTATTTTTCCATTTTTGTGCATAAAGCATTGTTGCTGCTATCAATGTATATAATAGCAAGGTTTCAGTTTTTTTAAGTTCTTTGTCCATTCTTATCCCATAGAAAAGTCTTTGATTTAATTTTTATATTCACTTAAAAATCTATATTAAAATACGAATCTTACCTCAACATTTATTTTATCACAAGTCCACCAAAGATGGTAAAAAGTTTGTTATTTTCATT